TGTATGTATATGTATATATGTATATATATATGTATTGAGCAGACTTTTTCCTATAAGCCTGTCTCTTACTGCAGTAAAACACATCTATATGCTCCGGTGAATCGGCTGTCCGGACAACAACTTTCTCACTTCGAGCTGCCTCACTTGAACTAATGGCTGTAGCTAAATCCAATTTTGGGTTGAGCTACAGCTTTTTCGACCATTTGGCATTGCGTATGCAGACAACAATCCTGTCTTGGATCATCTCTTCACGCAAGACGCCATATTTGCAATGTTCAGCTAGCTTGTGCACTGCTGTGATAAAGTTTTCTGCAGATTCGCCAACTTCCTGACTTTGTAGCAGTGCATAATGTAATTTTAGAACAAGCCATAGTCATTTAGTTTATCCTCAGTCAACTGCAGTGTGCTCAGGATTCAGCCTTATCATCCATTGTGTAAATGAGAGAATTCACCTGGTGAGTATTTTTCTTTCAATCCAGAAGCAAGCCTGAAGCGTTCAAATATTTTTATCCATGTTGGCCACGAGCTTGGCTCGAAGTCGAAAGGTCCTGATGGTAAAGATGCGATCCATGCTGTGAGCTAGTAGCTGACCGCTAGCTTGTTGTTAGCTTTCACCGTCAAATGTTTTCTCTAAGCTCCACACGTCACCGTCACTAGTTGTCCGTGCCACTAGACTGTCTGTTGTAGGTTATGAACTTCTGACACCATGTATTGTGCCTACGTATGTACTCAAGGACCCAACCATCAGGATGCAACTCGACAACTTATTATATTTCTTCTCACACGTACTGTATATCATAACATCATATATCAGTGCGCCCTCACCTGGCCATAGCCGGCCACTACACAAATATCTATTGACTAACTACGACAATGACTCAGAGGTTTTATAATAAAACAATACCAAATTTCATGTTAACTATTTTTTATTTCATTCAATTACTCAACTAATCTCATCTTTAAAATCTAAGACCATCACTTTAAAGAACATATCTGTATGCTCCTTGATATGAAACGGCTTTTTCATAACATTAATTGTGGCTTTTATTCAAGAAAGAGTTTTTGGTCCTTTACCATTTATTTGATAATATTTGAATGTAAAGCACAGCCAATGGTTTGCTTTTTTAAGTCTTATGTATATATTCAATTTTAGCTAGCATGTCAAATGCACTATAAACACACATATGCTTTACAATTGGCTGAGATAACTATAATTATAGTTATTGTTACGTCCCTAAAGTGTCTAGGGGTGGAGGACGTAAACAAGTTAAAATAATAAACCCGGGAGATCTGGATCAACGGCAAAAGAGGATATTTAATGATGGAAACTGAAAACATCTCCAAAAGGAAGACAAGTACGGCGTATGGCTGCTTCACTGGCTCCCAAAACCTCCTTACGGCAGCACCTAACCCCTCTCTGGTTCCGCTCTGGCTTCCACCGAAGCAACACACCACTCTGACTTGGCAGAGCCATTTAATCCCATGCTGATCAGCTGCAGGAGTGACATCGCCAGCACACCTGAAGAAAATCACACCCACTCAACGCACGCACGCACGCCAGCCCGCACGCCCGCCCGCACATGCAAACAAGGCACGTAACAGTTATAAACACTGATTAGTATTCATAATTGTCACCCACTGATTTATTTTGAAGGGATAGTAACTGCAATTCCTTGTACTTGTACATCATTATCCCAGTTATTATCCATTTTTTTAGATTAGATTATATTCAACTGTATTGTCATTGCACAGAGTACAAGTACTGAGGCAACGAAATGCAGTTTAGCATCAAAGTGCAAAATAGCAAAAAGTGCAGAGTATGTGCATATGTAAAGTGTAATAAGTGAATAGATATGTACAATAAGAAATAGATATGCAATATGAACAGTAAGAAATGGATATGCAATATGGACAGTAATTGGGACAAGAATAGCAGCAATTGAGGTAAGAAGTGTAGGTATGATAAGTATATGTAAAATGCATCACATTGGGATGTGATACCAAATTACTCCTAATTTTGCAGTTTAAACTCTGCTGCTTTTAGTTTGGATTAAGACTTAATAATCCACATCACCTTTAAATGTGATTGCCGTCCATTTGCAATGGACCAGGAGGTGGTCAATGCTTTCTACTGCTTCTCACATTAGAAACACCATGAAAATCTGGTATCATTGTTTCCTGTCGTTCTCCCTGTCTCTCTCTTACCCTCTTACTCACTTTCACAAGCACATCACACGCACACACAGACAAAATCACAGCTATGAGCATCTTTTTTTCTTTCATAAAATCTGTGCAGAAGAGTACCTTGGATCTGGAAACCAACTCATACAGGACGCGTCTGCCTTGCCCTCCAGCTCAGGATCAGGAAAACACATACACACAAAATATTTTTTTTCAGAGTATTCACCAATGTGCAGATATGAAGACAAATTATTTTCTCATCTGTCTCTGAACCACTCATAAAGGAAATAAAGACACACACCCAACTCTTTCTCTGCCAGGATGATTCATGTATTAAGGGCTGTTGGGCGAACACACTATTGCAGATGTTCCAAGGAGTGGGCTGGAAGAAGCAGGGCCAGAGGATAAAAAAAGAAACAGAAGGAGGAAGGAAGAAGACCTTCACAACAGCCTTAATAAGCCATCTGATGAACACAATCCGGGATTCCAGATACCACATTTATTTTAAGAACTTTTCATAGTTTCCTATTTCATAGTGTCTTAATGAGCTGGCTTGTTGAAGGATCCATAGCAAATACTTACAAAACAGTGGATACCTCATTAAAGGCAATTTCATCCAATTGCAACGGACAAGGGAGTTGTCCATGCTTTGTGCTGCTGGTCACATTAATAACACCATAGGGGATTGAGATGTCCTTTTCCCTACGCTTCCTGCTGCTTCCTAAGCACTAATTATGCTTACTGGCGTCATGCTGTCTAAAAATATCGCCTTATTCAAGTAATTATGCAAATAACCAATGCCCTTTCAAGTTCCTAACAGAGCTTGTGATTTTTTTTTCCCTCACCACCTTGAAACTGAAGACATTGGTTTTTAGCGTTAATTACATTCCTCAGTTGTTTTAACATAACATCACAAAATTGACTAATGAATATGTGTTGGACGTCCAAAAGCTATTTTTGGTCAGTAAATATTAGCTAATCAGGAAAACTGTTGCTATTTTGAGCTAGGCTCTGATGCACACTTTTCAAATGTAGTTGTCTCCTTCAGATTTGATTTGATATAGTTGTTCAAACCATATTTGGTCTGTTAAAGGAAAAATAATCTGCGATGTACTTTGGTAAAACGGCAATATCTGATTGAAAATGATCCTACAGCTAAAGTACTTTTGCATTTCTGGGCCATATTTTGGTGTTTAGTAGAGATCTTTGAAAATATTCAACTAAACAACTCAAACAAAAATGGAAATAATAAAAACTACTGAGGCTTAAGGGTTAGGGTTACAGGGGTGACAGAAATAGACGCAAAAACCTAAAAACAGCCTTATCGAGATTCTGGCTATTGAAAAACTTGGAGACGACCATCAAGACGACCATGAATTTTAATTCTGTTTCCATTTGACATTTTGTTATTTTAGGCTGCCTTAAAACATCTGGCAGTAGAAATTGGCCTCTCTGACTAACTCATTGCATTGTCCCTACAAAATAAATAAATAAAAAACATTTACCATTAGTGTCAATGGATTTGCTTAAATGTTACAGGCTTCTTGGTAAAGAAAAAATATTTATGCCTCCGCTGGATTTGATCTGACTGCTTAGACTGCTCTGCTTGCTGTAAAAGTGCGTACCTTACTTCTCCCTTTTAGACTAGTAGGAGGCTTGATAAACCCTAGTTCAAAAGGGCCATGTGTTCCTTCCCAGGGTGTAATCCTGCTCTGTCGCCCAGTGGTGATGTGACAAACATAATAGAGATGCCTTTTGTGAATGGTTGCACCGAGATTAACAAGCAAACGATAGAAGGACCCATGGAATGACAAGCCCACGTTAGGTATTTATGGATAGCTACAGCAGCCTGGGTGGCTAATTAACTGGCTAATGGCCCAACACTCCCTCAGGCAGCAGCAGTGGGGATTTAAAGAGCTGGCTGTTGAATTGCAGCTGCAAAACATTAAGGATAAAAATAACCACACTTTCATGAGTCGTTCTACAGGTACATAAATTCTCAAACTAATTATGAAATCCTCAATTCGACACTTGAATCTCACTGCCCTTGATTAGCTATCAAAAAGTACTAGTGCTGTATGCCGCCTCCTCGCTCTTCTACTCTATTTTTACAGAAGGAGCCTTTGAGTCGGCTTAACTCCAGATTAATACCAGAACGATCAGCAAAACACTCACAGTCACAGTTTCAAAGCAATCAGTTTCAGTTAAATCAATTCAGTTTCAGTTTCAAAGCAATCAAAATAATAATGAGAGAAATCTTCCCACATTTAAGTTTTTTTGCTATACATATATTACACATATTCATGGATGTACCAGTCTAAATATCTATAATATATTTACTGTAGTAGTCAATTAAGCCTGCAACCTTTTTGTCCTCCTTCTAATGCTGATAGTTCATATTTGTAATGTGACAAGCCAGTTAAAGATATTTTTGCAATGAAAGAACGTATTTCATGTCACAATAGATATTGCAAAATAAAATAAGCATTATTTTGCTAAATTCAAAACTGCCTACGACATTCTATGTTGTACTTTACTGCACGGACTAAGGGACATGTTAAGTGTTTTTACGGATTGTGTTTACGGAAATAAGTTTTTCGAGATGTGAATAATAGTTCTCGTATTCACTGCGTTTAAGAGGTTAGGGAAGGTGTCATGTTGTGAAGCTTATAATCCTGTCAATCATCCTAGCTATATATCGGGATGGGTGGCACAAGTTAAACGGTAAATGGACTGTACTTGTATAGCGCTTTTCTAGTCTTCCGACCACTCAAAGCGCTTTAACACTACATGACATCATTCACCCATTTACACCCATTCATACATACACAGTGACACCTGCCCATCAGTAACTAACATTCACACACTGTAGTCGCAGCTACACGAGCAATGTTGGGTTAAGTGTCTTGCCCAAGAACACATCGACATGACCGTTGTTTTGGCTGAGGGTGTAGCCCACAGAAGCCTGTTCCTTCTTCCTCCCTAAAAGTGCAAGTTCTCGTTTCATAGTTTCCCTTATCGAGAGTCGCTACAACATTATGCAGTTCATTTTGCAGTATGCACGATCAAGCTAAAACCTAAAACAAGCTCTTAAGGCAGCTGACAAACTAATACATTTCTTGCAATATTATTCACAAATATAACTAACTAATAAGTTTTTAATGTTTGAGGGCTTGAACAATGTTGGTAAGTGTTATAAGACACCGCAGGGTTCAACTCACACAGTTCACGGGGAAATAAGACAGAAACGAGAGTTGACTGTATGCTATACAAATACTATAGAGTGTATTAGTTTTACTCGGTTAAAACTTCAAAAAGGGTTCAAAAAAAGTTTCTCTCTGTGCTGTTAGAGGGTGTTCTTTCCGTTGCCTCTTAAGGAAGATTACTGCCATAAAGAGTCATTCAACTCAAAAGTAAAACTCTTATGTCTACAAGACTGACTCCTAGTGAGAGCTGGCCAGCTGACTAGAGACCCGCCGGATGCTAGCTTGGTGAAACACCAGGCAGGGGAGATTTTTCAATTATTTTTACAATTTTGGTTCAGCATCAATTTTTGTGAAACAGCTTTTAATTTGAAATCAAAACTGTTGACTTTTGTGTCTGTGAATTTAGTGCTGTAATTGCAAAATTGTTAAAACATTTAGCCACTCTCGCATTTCGCATTGTTGGATAGGCGAGGTATAATGATGCCATTCATGCTGAAATTTTGTGTCTTTGTTCGCATACAATGTACTCTAAATGGATTGGTATGGTATGATTTTGAAAATAGCCCACGTGAAAGTAAAGTTCAGGCTTTCATAACATGAATTCATGACATGCTGTTCACACAATTTAGTGTACTATGAAAGTATTTTGGTTGAAGAATAGCCCAATGCCTGTGGCTTCTTTATGGAAACCCTATAGTTGGTTTTGATGTTATTCAAAGAGTTTGTTTAAGGAAAGCTTTATTTTCAAAAGAAGCTGTTTATTGTGTTAGAGGTAACAACTAACAAGCGTCAGTGATGAAGAGGTAGATAATGTTTGACAGGAATATTGTGACAATGGATCAAAGGTTAAATTCTATGGTCCTGTCAGATCTACCTACAACCTTCAGGAGACTTCTGTCTGCAAGTGAGTGTAAATCTGAACCGGGTGAGTGTGTCTCTGTGACTACTATCAAACAATACTAGATTCTTACAACCTGCATTCTATCGTATGTGCACATCTTGAACCCGTATCCCCGTCTTCAGCAGCATGGTGGAATTGGCTTTTTACCCGGCGGTGGCGCTGATGTATTTCTTTGGAGTGGTGAAAGCCACACAGGACGATCGGGTGGAGCTGGACGAACGTGCGTCGATAAACGTTTTCTGTCTGTTCGTGTTGGCACAGCCGCTGTGTCTTGTACTGGGAGAGTACACCGGCATGGCTACATACCTCTTCACAGCTCTGGTCTCGTACAACTTCCTGCCTTGGAGGACGACAACACAGCCTGCAAAGGAAAAAGAATCAATAAAGAAGTCAAAGTGAGAGCAAGAAATATAAACTGAATGAAGATGAAAACAAACTGAATTCAAACTGTTTGGAAAGAAATATTTACGTAAGGAATAAACATTCAATGGGAAAATGTTATTTGTGTTAAAAAAGTAACCATGCAGTAGTTGGTGTTTTCCATCTCACACGTCAGAAGGTACAATATCCAGGGACATGCAGGGAAGTGAATCATCTATGTCTGCATAGTGTTAAGCCATGTCCCTGAATGAATGTGTGTCCCTGTGATGTTCCTAAACGTACTGAGATGATGCTTGTGCTTTGCAAAACTGGGCTCAAAGAGTCAGTGTATAATGGATTAGACCATGCTATTTAGTTGATAATCCACCGCTTTGTTCAGCAGTCGTGCTGGTGCCCGCTGTGTATCTGAGAAACAGTAAGACTATGTATTGAAGATGTTCGAGAGTTGCTTTGGCATTAAAATCTTCCGAGCGCCTCTATTGTGTGAAGTCATTTTCCAGGTTTGCACAGTGGCTCTTTCTCTTTTTCTTCTCTTACAAGTGAATTTATTTAGAGTAAAGTTGGTAACCTACAGTCAAAAAAACATCTCCCCATAACTGCATATCATCCCGTACAACCTCTTTTACCCATAATGGTGAATAAACTCCACGTCCATTTGCAAGGCAAAGGATGAATATAATCTAGAGCTACAGGCATATGCGAAAAACTAAATCCCAATCAATTGGGTTAAAAACAAGTTTAATCTTATATGTTTTGTTCCATAGAAGAAATGAGACAATATTCAGACTAGAAGACTCAAAAGACTGCCGGCTTTAACTTATTTTCTTGAGGGAATGTTGAATCCTGCATTAAATATTTATTTACAGATATTTTACATGCACGCCGTCATATATAAAAAACTGTACAAACATTTACACTCATCTAAGAGCGAGTAGTCTGTGCAATAAAAGGCACAAATGACCCTTGACCCTGCATTTATGACCCATGAGTACATGGTTCACAGACACTGCAACATATTCTATTACCATAAGCGTGCTCAACATGACAACTCAGCAGCTGCAAAGAAGACCTCTATTAGTGTGCAGTAGTGATCCACGGACCAGCAGCAAAGCAGTCCAGTGCCCTCTTGATTGAGAATAAAGGCAATTCCATCGACTCAGCAACCTGAGGCAAAGATTTTTTTAGCTTCAGATGATGTGAGCAGAGATGTCGTCCAGCCTAAAGTAGAATTTGAAAATCCATGGGACAATCTGAAATCTTTTACATAAGTATAAGTCTTTTACAGACTCAGAATATAATGTGAATGTTCATCAATGTCTGACATGTCTGCTTCTTTAAGGCATTGAGGCCGGTTGGCTGAGGCAAAAGCCTGAAGATGAGCTGACTTTTTGGCTTTGACATCCAAGGTCATAAGATCGTTGGACCAAACCAGAAATGGTGGTGCGTTTTTTTAATAAACCATTTGCTAAACCCCAAGCCCAAGCAACTGTTATGCTTGATATAGTCAATCGACGAGGTCCATGGGTATTTTTTAGCACAATACCTTTAACCCTGTGGGGCACCAACGTCAGAACTCTTCTATTACACACATAGTGGCTTTAAATAGTGATCAAGGCATCTGCTAATGATCAGTTTCAGCTTTGGTCAAACAGGTTTCTTATTCCTAATTCAAACTAGATGTTATTATTTTTTACATTTATCTTTTTTTTAAAATTATCACTTATTATTTGCTTGAAAGGAGGACTTCAAAAGACGGGGACATACTGGGGACATTTCTTGACTGTTATGTTACATACTGCATCAGCGCAGTGCATGTTGAGCTAAACAGATGTTTCTGTCTAATTTCAGTCCTTTAAGCCTTGTGTGGGACTCATAAACGGTCTTTGTGAACTGGGTCTAAAAACAGGCTTAGTACATATCCGAAAAAACAATTTACAGTATTCACAGCAGTGTTCATTTTTCATTCAAGTGCATGTAAATCCAAACTTGCAGAGATTATTCTGAGGCCATCTGCTCTGTTGCCTATTTACACATCAAGTAATGAAAAAACATGAACTCCTCAAAACTCACGGTAACTTTGGGTGGGGCCGATAAAAGGCCTGATAATAAGGTAGTTTATGTATTTAAGCCTTCTGCTTCACTGCTTGCTAAGATCTTCCAAGCCCTTTGTGAAGCATGTGAATCTTTTGCTACATTTCTTTACTCATAATCCATGAAACCTTAATTCTTCAGAATTCAAACAAATGGCCAAATCCCTCTAACATTTAGATACATCCACTATTAGGATGAACTGATGGCAGGGGAAAGAATTACTTCCTAAACTGCCTCATGCATCCTTCCGCAAATGGAAGCATTTGGGCACCTAAAACTACTGTAAGATATCTTCTCTGGGATTCAGAGGGAGTCTGACATAAAAGCGGTCGTAGCGTTATCAGAGGAGAGCTGGTGAGCAGACATAAATAAATACGGTGAAGGGTTGAATGGACAATTAACCTCCAAAATCATAATGGGTTTTATTTATTTATATATATGTATATATATACGTACATATATATATATATACATACATATACGTATATACATCTATATATACATATATATATATATATGTACATATACATTACATATATGTATGTATATATATATATATACATACTTTTATATATATATATATAAATAAAACCCATTATGATTTGAGGTTAATTTCCCTACTGACAACAAACTGTACCGCTCACTCCATTTGAACTACTACGTACTAAGTAATTATGGTAAAGGACTTTCAGCTTTGGCCTGATTTGAAGACAATATGTGTAGATTTTGTACAGAAAAGCACAGTACGTAGATCATTAGTAAAGGGAATCAAACCAATCAAAACATGAAAAGGAGTCTTTTACAAAAAGGGATGATCCGTGTTTGTACCTTTTGTCCCAAAGTAAAAGAAAAAAAAAACACAAAACAAACAAAAATAATTAAATTAATTTGGTCGATTCAAAGAGCTACCACAATCACAAAGTGATGACTTAAGCCTCAATAACCTTGTCCTGTAACCTGAGTTTTTGAGAATGGCATAATATTAAAACGGAGATCACTTTTAATAACCCCCATCCACACATTTGCATTTATTGCACTCCCCAACAAATTAAAACGTAAAACCATATCATTGCTTTTGGAGAATGCCAGTAGCTTCAAACTCATCTTCAACACTTCAACAACAGTGCATACTCTCTTAGAGAAGAATTTATGCCGAGAAAATGAGCACCTGTGACTGCTGTTAAATGATCCAAGCTTTGTTGAATTAAACTAATTATTTTTCTGGGTATTTTATAAGGGTTGATGTTTCAGAGCTGAACAAAACTATTCATTAGTGTGGTATTTTGACACCAAGACATAACTTGCTCTAAAATGCTACATGTAATTTTGAACCGATTAGAAAAGCTCACGTTTATAAACTGAAAGGAATGTGAATGCTTGTTGTTATCCATACAAATAAAAAAAAGATAATTGAATTGGCATTCAAGACTTGGGTTCCTATTCTTGCCTGCAGTAGCAAAGACCTATCAAGCAAGTAGGATAACGGACAACATCCTCTGAAATCTTGTGTGTTAACGGTTTGTGCAAGTGTGTTGGCCACACATCTACTCATCAGTGCAGGGGGCTTCTCCCACTCGTTTAATGTAGCAGCAAATAGTGGGTGGAAGAAAACTGGGATTCTAAAAAGAAATACCTCTCAGTTGTGACCCCCCCCCCCCCCCCCTCCAGTAATCTTGCCTGCAAAAAATCTGCCTGAGCTTGGAGACTTCGAATTAGATTGCATTCCGAGAGAAATTCAGTAGCCGAGAGGGAAGTACACTCTTTAGTAAGGCCGGGTGGTCTGATACAGTCGCTAACCTTAAAGATCAGAGTGGAGCTGAAAGACGGCAGGGCGGAACTGATAGGGCTCCTAATACCATTTATGTGGAGGATAATAGGCAGGTATGGGCCCCACACTGTAGGCTGGTTGAGATAATGATCGGGACCTTTGGCCTCAGCCAAATAACCGGCTCACAAATGTCTTACTGTGTCACGTTTGTCTGCAATTTTTTTTGTTTTTTGCCGCAGTTGGCACTTTAAAGAACCGATATCACAGTCTTGTCAGATCATTCAGGGGGCCAGTGTACTTTTATTGCACTGGTGGTTGTGCGCTTTCCTGTTTGCAGAGTTAGTAGCCGGTAAGTCTTATAGCCGGAGAGACACACGGGACACATTCACACGGAGATGAGGAGACATGGATACAATTGAGTCAAAAACAATTGAGGTAGGGAAAGTAATAAATTAGTCTAAAGGCATTAAAAATAAAACAACTTGTGGAACACAAAGTTTAGCGAATATGCAGAGGTATGCTTGAAATGAAAAGGATTGGAGGGCATTTCAAGTCAAAAGGTTTTGTAATTGTCCAGTGAGGTCTTACCACATATCAACATTTTTCTATCATCCACTACATGAATACACACCAGTTTAAGCAACTTCATGTCCTTTTACACAAGGATATGGAAGCCTTGCTGAAAGAACACAAGCACACGTCTTCTCCTAATACCAGGCTGCAGTATGTCAATTATTCCGCCGTGTGAATCCCCGGCTGGAAAGATGCGATTCATACTGTCCGAGAGTGGCTTAATGGCTCTTTAAAATTGGTAGTAAAAAAATTCCAAAAGGCAAGTAGTTCTTGGTTTTTGAAGATATAAACCGCCTCTGCTTGTTCATTGCACTTTGATAGAGAAAGCAAACTCTTGATTGCCTTGGAAACCGTGTTTGCAGTTTCACATCTCATTGACCAGAAGGAGTTGCAGGAAGATGGCCACCACCTCTGTCATCACTTCTTCCTCCACACCTTCGACAACCAGATCTTAACGGTCTTGTCACTAAAGAGAGAAAGAGACAAAAAGAGGGATAGGATGACAGTGTTTCCTACAGATCCAACGTCAATGTGTGGGGGGGGGGGATACGACAAACGTTGTACTAAAACACACATTGCTAGATAGAACTGTACACAACTCACACTATATACAACTCCCATAGCTGTGGTACAGATTTCACACCCTATACTACTTCTGTCAGAGCAACGGATTTTGCGGGGCTTGCTAAAAAAACACATGCGAGATAGATGTGGTGTGCACGGAGGGGAGGGGCTGTGTGTGTATGTAAGACGAGTGAGTGACAGAGACTGAGGGAGAGCAGGGAAACGAAATGCAGCTGAACGAATACGCTGCGTGATTTAAATAACATTAAAAAAATAAAAAATACACCAAACGCAATGTGTGGCGGCCGGTGATGAATCTGTGGCGCACCGCCACAAATTAGTCTATGTGTGGGAAACACTGGATGATGAGCAAAGGGAAGTCAGGAGAACACAACAACAAAATAGAAAATAACAAGAAATATGGGAGTCGTCGTGGCGCTCCTGAGTTTCTCTCTGCTTTGACTCCACAGCAAATTCCCAACGCCCATAAGGACTGGGTATGTGCTCTGGCACATGTCCCAGGCCGGCCCATGCTGCTGAGCGCCGCAACCGCAAGGTTGGTGGTTCGAGTCCCGGCTGCCTCAAGTCGAAGTGTCCCTGAGCAAGACACCTAACCCCTAACTGCTCCCCGGGCAAAAATGTAAAAAGACATGGGTTTAAAGTGTAATGTAAGTCACTTTGGATAAAAGCGTCTGCTAAATGACCTGTAATGTAATGTAAAATATATAAGACAGTCTTTTTCTTTCACAACAAACCATTGAGATTGATTTAAAAGTCGACTTTACAAACACATGCCCTCACACACTTTAATAAAGACCCTTCTCATTATGTCAGTCAAAAACACCTCTAATAAAAGAGGAGAAACAAGTATGATTTACAACTCTGCAACAAGTAAATCTAATAAACTCTGCTCTGAACTATCCAGGAAATTTAATTACAATTTTCCGGCACATTAACAAGGTGCTTCGACATAACACCTTTCACTGTTCAGTTACCCAGGACCCTTTTGTGTTACAAATTAACACATACTAAATAAGTTAGCTGTGCTCTTTGATTGGTGTTAATTAGGGGTGTAACGATTCATTTTAACGATTCGATTCGAATCGCAATTCATGGTTGCCGATTCGATTCATGGACGATCTGGGTTAATTTAGAACGATTCAATTCGATTCGACTCACTGACTTGAAATCGATTCAGTAACTTTACTGGACAGTGCAGGCAAAGTTTCTGAGATCCCTGTTGCTTTTTGTAAGGAAATCAGGTTTAAATTAATTATATTTAATTAAATAAATTATAATATATTGGATATTGTAAACAAGCAAACAACAATTAATGGCAAATGTATTAACCTTTTATTTGAATCAAGTGCCATTTTCAATGTAAACATTACACAATAATTACACAATGTTTGGATCAATTCACAGAACCCTCAACCACATTGTAGGGTCGCATGTCTATACAGATAAACTTGGCAATTGTTACTGTGATGCTGAGTTTCGTGCTGGCGAGGCCTGAGGTGTCTGCAGAGCTGGAGTTACCTTCTGCTGCTGCTGCAGCGGTAACGCTGCTAGAGGTGCCTGACTGTCGGCGTTGTTTAATCTCGTCTCCTCCACGCTGTGTTTTATTGTTGTTCTGAGTTTCGCGCGGCTGCCGCTGCGTACTGATGACGTCACAGACAGGCAGACTGAATCGAGTAACGTTTAACGTGTCTAAAGTGCTAAAAAACAAACAAACAAACACACATCCATACCGTTTTTGTACTTAAATCCAATGGGCAGTTTCCAAGTATCGATTATGTACCATTTCAATCGATTTGTAATCGATATATGTCGTCCGGAATGCCGATTTGCGGAGCACAGATCGATTCAGTTGGATCGCAGGAATATAAATTGATTAATCGATTCAGTGAATGAATCGTTACACCCCTAGTGTTAATAGATGCTAAATGTCAATTGAGCCGATTCTGTTTCAAAGGATAGTGCTGAAATTGTTAAGATGGAAAATAGCAGGCTGACGTTATTCAAAGATGGAGAAAATCTATCTACCAGTACCTCTAAAATGATTACAAAAATATGAATCTAATTTGGTTAATCCAAATGAAACAAGGATTGGAGGGCATTTCAGTAGTGTACAAATATAATGCTGTTTTTTTTCAGTGGACAGACTAAAAATTTGTTGAAACGTTATTCAGCGCAATAACCTGAGTCACTTGTTAAGTCACTGGAAAGCTATTAGTCCAAGCAGAGGCAAGACACTGTAAATTAACAAGAAATCACAATAAAACATGTAAAGTTAAATATAAGCAGCTACATAAAAAAAATAAACGGCAGAAAAGAATAATGGCAGAATTGGTACAATCACGCAAAAACAATAGAACGGTTAGAAACAGAACAAGCGCAAGTAGGAAAGTGCATGTACCACCTAGGTTAATAAACACAAGGGACATATCACGGAAAAGAAGGTGGAAATTAGTTCAGAGGCTACCAGAGGAGGGGAGGGTTGGTGAAGAGGCAATCATGGGAGGCTGGTGGCTCGGCCCTTGATGGCAAGGACCCGTCGAGGAAGACAAGGGGTCAAGCCTGGCACATAGCTCCACAACTTCACCCTGCAGTCACTGGGGTCGAGGAGGAGGAGGAGGAAACAAACAAGAGGAAATATTTGTCTACGTAGAAGAAAAGATAAGAACAGAGATTATTAAGATAAAAGAAGTGAAGAAACAAGAGCGAGAAAAGGAGAGGAAGGAAGAGGAGGAGGAAGTAGAGTCTACTTCAGTAAAAGCCTCCCAGCTGAAGAAGGACCGCTGAATTCTCCCCTCAAATACACACAAACCGTAAACGAGCATCATATGATGCAGCTATGAGGTCAGCAAAACAAAGATTTGGAGAAAAACATGAAGCAACAGCGTCCTTTCTGAGCGACAGAGGCTGACACATTTCAGATGAATGGGATGAAAAAAGCATGAATCATTCTCCAGTGTTTTCACACACATTCACGTTTTCTCTCCGTACTTGTTCAAAAAACTCATGTTTCATGTTTTGAAACTCGAAAGCCTCCCTCATAAGCTTGAATTGGTCTGTATCTTTACGAATATCAACAAATAAAAAGACAAAAAACGACAATGCATTAATTTTGGTCTTTTCACAAAATGAGTTGACAAAATAAAAAAGGTAGATTTAGCCGTCTAATCTTTTGATGTACATACTAATAATGTAAAGTACAAAGCTGATAGTACTTAAATCTACACACACGTTCATGACAGTCATCCACTGTAAAATAGTAAATTAAATGATCTTAATTAAAAGCTTTTACATCTTCTAAAGAAAATGAGCCTTTTCTCCATTAATCGCTTACGGCTGGCGCATGCTTCTGTGTTTGCGTTATTGCGTCGACGCACACGTTTCAATTCATGGTTCAAAAAGGCTTGCGTGTGTTGCAGAGCAATTCACCTCCAGAACAACAGGCGGAGTGACGGGTTTTTGTTGAATACGACCTAGAGACTCAAGTCTATTTATTTATTTGTTTATTTATTTATCATAGACTTTATTGCCCCGTGCATCGCCACTGTTGCTTTTCATCATAGACACATTTGTCCTGTATTTTCCTCCACAACTTTGTGCACCTCTCGACCGGCAAACCGGCATTTGCGGCGATCTCCCTCCATGAATCCAACTCGTTTCTACAACCCGCCAATGACGGCTTGAATAAGTGGTCATATTTACGCATTTCTTCCGATAAAAGTTCTCAAATCTGATCCGTTCTCTCGTAAACATTCTTCGTTTCTAATAATGGCGGTATCGGGCTATGAAAGCGGAAATGTGAGACTCCGTAAAGGATGTAGTTAGCGGACCAATCGCAGCCTTGTGCGCTGAAAAATGAGTCGACACACGCAAGGACGCAAGGAGGTGTGAAAAGGCATGCAAGGGACACGCAAGGGGGTCTTGCGTCTGCGTCGCTCTGAAAACGCAGAAGCATAAAGTAGGCTTAAGGATCAAGAGAATGCTGGGCAGATATGAATATTTGAATACTTCTATTTCACAGTACCACAGGGAACATTTGGAATTAGTTATAGCGCGATTCACATTTCATTTATATTTACCTAGAAGCAGTGAAGATCTGTCTTGAGTTGGTACATATGGCGTTAATGGGGCTTTCGTGACCCCTGACCTCTCCTATGGGGGTGAAGTTGTCAACGTTCCATACCTTCAGCAGGCCGCCCCTACAGGCGCTCAGCAGCATGGGCCGGCCTGGGACATGTGCCAGAGCACACACCCAGTCCTTATGGGCGTTGGGAATTTGCTGTGGAGTCAAAGCAGAGATAAACTCAGAACAACATCTATGATGAGACAACACTGTATGGGAGAGATATTCAATACAACCAGCTCCTTCAAAATAGCATTTAGATTCTACAAAATGCCTTGTTCTGCGGCTTCTTTCAGTTTTCCACATTGCAGTTGGCAGTTAGTCTGACCTAGTTTTTATAAGCAGTTAATTCTAGTAAATTCTATATCTATTCCTCATGTGAATGCAAATATTTGAGCCCCATTTATTGTGACCTAGAACAAACAAACTAAAATAAATGCATAGGTTGTTCCGCTCTCCTCAGCTTTTTCAGTGAATATAGGGAAATCCTTGAAGAAAGTATGATGCAGTCTGCAAAGACGAGACTGTGACAATGATAGAGACAAACATAGAGCCAGAACTACAATGGAAACGTTTAGATGAAAGCAGGTTGAAATGGCTATTTTTGAAACGGTCAAATGGCAGACCTCAATCCAATTGAGAATCTATGGCAAGATTAGAAAATTGCTGTTCAGTCTTCTTCCGATCTCACTGAGCTTCAGCTTTTTTTCTAGGTAGAATGGACAAACATTTCCATCTCTAGATGTGCAAAGCTGGTGAAGACCCCTAAAGACTCGCTGCTGTAATTGCAGTGAAAGGGGGTTCTACCAATTATTGACTCTGTGGTGTGAATACTTATGCATCCATCCACTTTTTTTGTTCTCATTATTGTTTATGTCATAAAAATGTTAAGCACCTTTAAAGTACTACTAATGTTGGGTTTCCCAAATGGGAAAAGTCTATTTATATTGAATTGAAGTTGAAGCACAAAATGGGAAAAAGTCCAAGGCCGGGGGGGAATACTTATGCAAGGCACTGCGCTGAAGATTTCACCTTGAAACACAGCTCTACGTTGTTGATCTATTTAGCTTTTCTTACAGAACTCCAATCATAGAAAAATGAAAATGGCGCGAGATTTTTTTTCCAAAATGGTTATAATTTGCAAGAATACTTCATATTTCCACATTGCTTTTTATGAAGAAAGTTGTATATTTACACTTATTGTAAGTCACTTTGGATAAAAGCCTCAGCTAAATGACATGTAATAGGTAACCATAGGTAGCTGTCATTTCCAGCCGGGGATTCACACTGTCATGAATACGTGATACAACATCGAGAGTACTATTTGAGAGTACTTATACCATCGATTTAGACAGACAAACTGTTGACAGACACAAATAACTTTTGTTTACAATGCACAGACAAAGGAGGAGGCAACAGTTGGATAGAATGAAGTCCTTGATTCATGCTGTTCACACAAGTCTACTTGAAGGTTAAAAAAGTTTGGGTTTATCTTTTTGAGCGAGAGATTTCGTGTTTAACTGTGTCAAGGGTGTCTATATGGTCTTCTTAATTGCTTCTTTAACTGTATAAAAAAAGGAGTTATTGGCCACTGACAAAAGTAACTCTCAGAGGTCATTGACCTTATAAATGAAGTATGTATTAAGACGTTATTTTTTCATGCAGATCTGGCATCAGTCATAACAGGATGCCATATTCAACGTTGTTCATTTGTTGAACAAAATGAAGTTGATTTTTTTTTGCTTTTTCTTAGCTCCAATAAATCCAAAAACATCAACATTTTCATCTTTTCAAATAGTAATATAGATGTTTATATGCATATATTATATGCATTAAATATAGATGTTAACATACATGTGTATGGAAGTAAATCTGTGTCATCGGATTTTGAAAGAAAAAGGTGATTGAATTTCTAGCACTGAATATTTATGCATTGAAATCATGTATCTGAATGTTTTTCAACGTTAAAATATTCAACTGCAAAAAAATCAATGGCAAAAAAATCAATGCAAAAATTCAATGCAAAAAAATTCGAACCGCAACATCCGAGAACCCAAGGAAGAGCAATCAATTCTAGATTCAAGATCGGGAGCGTGCGTCAAGCAAAAGGAGCGACCGCCCCAATACAACTTCGGCTTGTCGACTATGATGACCGGATTTCAGCCATGTCCATTAATAATGGGGCTTCGTTGAGTGTTTTAACTTTAACTTCATGCCATCAGTGTGGTTTGTGTCTGTAAGATTCAGTAATAGACAACTGATGCTGGGATGCTTCGACAAGCTATTAGGAGTGATTGGCGGAGTTTTGAAACCAGGAACGCGCTTGTAGAGCGCATAGAAGCCGCTGCAGCGTAGTGGGGGGGGGGGGAGCAGCTCTAGCGGAGAAGGGGGCGACCCCAACCCTCTCCAGGTCCTCGCGGGTATGCTGGTCACATGGCGCATCATTCTGCGTCCCACAGTAATGGGATTTGATAAGTCATACTACGTATCACAACTTCCTACTCAACGGTCGTTACTTTAAGAACTTTATAAAAATGCAGTGACAGATCACAATCTCTGCTTCTCAACTGTAAGGTCGTATGGGACAGTAAACCTTTGTCACACTATAATGTGTATATGTCTGATATGTTAGTGTTTTTGGTGGGTTTTTTATGATACTATATAATATATGACATCGTACTGAGAGCTTGAAAAAACAACCACAACCGAACGTCATCTCGTTTAACTTCCGCTTAGTTCACATCCAATGTACAAATGTCAGCTGTCTATTACTGAATCTTACAGACACAAACCACACTGATGGCATATAATCGAGTTAAAACACACCGAAGCCCCATCACTGTTGGACATGCAATGATCGTGCATGTAAACAGCATAACCTGCACGTACTGTCGGGGTTATGAGTCTGCACACGCTCCGCTAAAGCCGCTGCCCCCCACCTCCCCCACTACTCTGCTGCGGCTCCTATGCGCTCTATGCCTTGCATTGAATTTTTTTGCATTGAATTTTTGCATTGAATCTTTTGCGGTTGAATTTTTTGCGGTTGTATATTTTAACGTTGAAAAACATTCAGATACATGATTTCAATGTATAAATATTCAGTGCTAGAAATTCAATCACCTTTTTCTTTCAAAATTCGATGACACAAATTTACTTCCATACATGTGTTTTAAACTCATTGCATGATTATTAAATGGTTTTAAAATATAGCAACATTTTAGATGATCTACTTGAAGCTTTTTCCATGACAGCTGACAAAATTGCGGGTCATAAATAGTTGGTTGTGGAAGTTGCATTTGAACATAAAAGGCAATTCCTAAAGTTGAGAACACAAGCGTGTGTCTCGTTTATTTTTCACAACAACGAATGAATAAACAAGATGGCGCAGCCCTGTAATCTCCCTAGCAACGGGCTGTACGTCATCAGCAACAACAGAACATTTAAAGGGACCGCGATCCCGGAACAGTCGTAATTACGTGTATAACACATTACCTAAATAACTGCATGAAACAACAGTGTGTAGAACCACACTAAGAACAAGGGTGAATTATGAAGTCACATTCACTACATGGTAATCTAAAGGCCAGAGAAGTTGAGAAATTATAAAATCCTTTCTAAAAAGTAGAAATGGAGGAAACCTTCAGAGAGGCAAACCCTCCCCCCTGAATGCAGGAGCAATTTGAAGTGCAATAAGAGCTGTGGAAGGGGAATAGCAAGTTCAAGTTCTCACATAATATTACATCTACCTTGCAATCTGTAACAACTTTGCACCAGTGGGTCAAAACGTGCCTGGGTTTTCCAACACCTCCTGAGAGCAACAGTTGTATAGGCATGTCAACCACCCAGCAAAACACACACTAACTTGAAATGTTTTTTTAGAGATATATTTTTATAAAGCATACAGGAATCATTAAAACAGTGTTGAGTAATAATAAATAAATTGCCTCACGTATCCCCCAAAGAAACATGCTATGGAGTATGCATTTTCACAAAAGGGTTGGAAGCAGAGAGGAGGCACAACCTTTTGTAACATACTATATTGTACCCTAAGCCACAATTGTATACTATTACATAATTAGACAGAGACTACAGAGTTAGAGAGGCTGTAAAATGGATTGTGTTGGCTGCTTCATAAAAAAGGTTACGGGTATAGGCCGCAGACCACAGCGCAAATTGAGTTCACTTAATCAGCCTTTGAAGAGAAACTAATGTCTTATGTTCTTGTTTTCTCTGTTCCTGTTAATAAAGGTCAATAAATAGAACGTATGTGGACACCAAGAAAGTTCCGATTAATATGCATATTACCATGCATGCAAATGAGTAAGCCACATCCACCCACGAGGTGCATTATCATGCACTTTTAACATATGCAGTGCCAATGTGGGATGCACAAGAGACATCACAGGAGTCAACACATGCATACAAAAACACACACAAACAACTTTCCACTTTTTTGGTAAGTGTGGCTATGATGCGGGTGTGCTTTAACACCCTGACATAACAACACTCTGTTGACCTTCTCCACAGAGAGAACCCTCTGGGAAAAGAAAGGCATGAAGAGAGCTGTCTATCAACTAAACACTCAATACGCAGCACTTTTCTTTAACAGCCAAGTCATTGTCAGATAACATCTACAGGGAATGTTTTGGCACAGAAGGTGTGCCGCCATATCTGAGTCATGACAGGGTTTCTTTCTGTAGAACAGCAAATGTCCGTAGCAAATTCTCAAATATTCACATCTTCAATTAATTATTAAAAGGATGATGAAGTCTAAAAATCGACAGCTAAAAAAAATGGTTCTTTTCTCATGTAATGAAAAGAGAAACATAAAACCCTCACATTAGAGACATTTTACACAGAATCATGTAGCCAAGATGACAATCTGCTTCGTCTCAACAACTATTGGATGAATTGCTATTACAGACATTCATGCCCCCCCTCAGGACAGATTGTAGGATGTGGTGATCCCCTCACATAGCCCCTCAACGAGCATTGTCTGCAGTTTAACAATTTTTGTTTAATTTAAACTAATGATATTCCCATCAGCCTCAGCTTTACTCTGTGCTGTTTTAGGGTTCTGGTAAGCAAATGTTTACATGCTTCCCCTCTAAACTAAGAAGAAGATACACATTATTCTCACTGTTAACATGTTAGCATGCTGCCATTATTTCTTTTACTTCCAAGTGCTGCCTCAGAGAACGAACCAAGGACTTGCTTCAACCTGCAGGCTCACAGCCCATAACGTTGGGGTTTTAAAACTTTGATGTATGAACTCCAAAGTCCAAATTAATATAAATTGCATCTGCTGCTAAACTAGACCCAGCTGACCTTATACTGGGTTTACGGACAGACAACACATACAGGCTCAAATTTTAAAAAATCTTATGGAAAGTAAAAGAGACCTCCATAACACAAATCTCTCTACGTGTAGACACACACCTGAGTGAGTTCCTGGTGCTGTAGATCCCATTTTTTAATGCCGTTGTCGCGCGACCCACTGAACAGCACGTCTCCATGTACAGCCAAACACTCAATGCCATCATAATGGGGAGGCTCAAAGTTATGAGCAGGGCCGATGTTACCCACCATTCCCTCTGCCACGTCAAACACCTGCGGAGAGAACCGGGTGAAAGAGGATAGATGTGATTTCATCTGTGACACTAGGGTATTGTCTGTAGGTGTGTGTGTGCGCGCGCGCACATCTGGTACCTTGACATAATGGTCTTTGGATCCAGTGATTACTTGGTCTTTGCCCAGCAGAGACAGTCCCACTGTCAGGCACATGACAGAGCCGATGTGGCCTATCAGCTTCCCCATTCCATGCATCCTGCACGCACACACACACACACACACACACACACACACACACACACACACACACACACACACACACACACACACACACACGTCTGTGAAATACATTACTTACTTACTTATTTTTCTTTTAAAGTTTTCACTTTCGATCTCACTCTAGAAATAAAACTACTGAGCGAAAGCAATGCCATAGGCAGAGATGATACTGAAGAAATGTTTAATACAGTGATTTTTCATTTCTGTTATGCATCATTAATTGGGTCTGAGCCCCTCAGCGTAAACTGTCTGGTCCAATCTGTTAATCATTTCCCCCAGGTGTGTAAAAAGGAAGTGAAGCAGCAGGGTTTCGGGAAATCGGTGCTTTGCAGAGAACATGCATACATCAATGCGGAGTTTGTTATTTATCTTTTGAAGGTCTCTACAGCTTTCTGGTTTGATGAACATCTGACGAGTTTAGGGCTTAATTTAGGGCTTGGTGTCGACTAACACAAAACATTTTGGGGTGACTAAGCATATTAAATCAGTGTAGGAGATCATGATTACATAAATACATGACTGAGTGACTGCATATGTTAAAATCAATGACAAAATTAATTAATAAAAAAAATATACCTGTTGAGGTCCCACATGCGAACAGTGTTTCCAGCAGCAGCGTAGAGCACTGATCCTGAAGGGTTGAGGGCTATCTGGTTAATCTGACACTCACCCTGAGCAAAGGTTATGGTGCGCGTGGTGGCGCCCGCACATACATCACCCGGAACCACCTGCCCCGATGAACTGTGTGGGGTAAAGAGAATACAAAAAAGAGGGATTGTAAGAGGAATGGAGAAATATGAGGAGATTAAAAAGAGAAGACTTGAGGTGGAGAAACAAAATGAGAGTACAACGTCCAGAATTTTATAGTTGTCATAAACCCTCGGAAGCATTTCACATAAACATTTAGCACATTCAATTTGTCACTTTTCTTTAACTTATATTCTTATATCACTAAACTGAAAAGGCATTTTGCTAAATCGCTTCTAAAAAAAACTCTTCTTCCACTGCTCCAAACCGTTCCATCTGGTCCGTTGCAGGGTGGAAACTTACGTAAGCGTGCGGACACACTTGGCAGAGTCGCGGATGTCCCACACCTTGATGTAGGATGTGGAGACGGAGAAGACCAGACAGGAGGAAGGACAATATTTCACAGACACCACGTTGTTTGGGTGGCCTTTGAGTGTGACTATCTCCTGACCCGTTACCAGGTTCCACATCTTACATGTGCGATCTGCAGAAGAAAGAAAGGCCGTTTGAAAATCTCTCTTTAGATACTTCAAAGCCTATTATACTGAAATTAACGGATCCGATTATTTTATTCTTGCTGTTAGATTCATTAGAAATCGTTAGACTCATTGTCTGTAATCAGTGTTTTTTTTTGTTATTTAAGGAATAAAAACCGTTAATGCTTAGCCTTCCTGGGCAAAACAAAGGAAGCAGGTGAAAACAACGTGGCTGGCTGACTCAACGCTTAAAATGTATGACTGTCCATAAAACATTATAATAACAATTAACATGTCGCATTTGTTTATACTGCATACACCAATGTAAAAATGTCACGTTGGGATGTGTTGACAATTGTAAAAATACACTAAACAAGTTATATGAAAAGATGGTTGATACTCTCACACAGGGCATGCACACTTCATCATGTTCTCCGCTTCAACATGAATCAGATCCATTTAAAAGTGCATTTAAATATACACAGCGTAGTATAGGTAGTGGTACGTGTACCTTTAGATCCAGTGAATAGCAGCTCATCTGTGGCATCCACACACAGGACCGCCTTTGAGTGGCCCTCAGCAACAGAAACACACTGCAGGGGCGCTGTCCGACCCCCCTTCACACCCCCGATGGGATTGATCACACCCCTAATGATCAGATACACACACAACTGTCAGAGTGTCTTCAAAATAAACCAGTGAGGATGATTTCTTTCCACTTTGAGTCAGAGCCTGATCACAAACATGCACACAAAGATACAAATAATCATCCCATTATACAGTGACAATACAAACCTCAACAGATACAGAGAGATGATAAACTGCCCTAAACACTATGCAAATATGCCATCACTCTATTTCCTGTTGGTTTTTCAGAGCCCACCCACTCAATCGCTGCAGCCGGCCTTTGTTCTGGAATATACCAATTACAGCATTAGCTTCTCTCCCCCACAATCTATGTACAACTGACAAGCACAGGAGAGGAGTCGGCATTGTGAGTAGAAGACAAAGAAATGTGGGAAAACTGGTCCCTCAGAGACTTATAACACCAGTGGTGGTTAGTGTTTATGTGAGTGCAAAAGTGGGTCAGAGAGCATGAGGTGGAGAGCGAAACGGTGATGGGAGAGCCAGAGGATGGGAGTGGGGAAAAGAAAATCTGTGATCACACACAAAACTTGGGCCGGATTTTCTTTCTGAGTGAAAAAAACACAGAATGGTGAGCTTGAAGTCAAGATAGCCACATGCTCCTCTTCTTTGCCTCCACTTACACTGATGTCCAAGCGTGAAAGCACACACACAAATACGCCTCAAATAAAAAATGAAACAATACACCATACTTTCTGACGTAGAAATGCCAACCAAAATGAAAAACAGTGTGAAAAAGGTTGCATGCATATCTACAGAGTCTCACAAAACACAAAAGACTACTGACTGGTGCAGAATAAGCTCAAGACAATTGTTACAACAGCAACAGTCTGGAAGTCTAACTTTAAAACAGCCTAAAACTCATGAATAAACCACAGCACAACGTCCTAAAATATTGTCATCACCACATGCAGCATCTGTTCTCTCAGATTGGTTGGTGGAAGCTGACTCACAGTTCAGCTTCCTCACAGTTATTTGCCTTTTGGGGCCCAGGGGAAAAGGTTCACGGTAAGTACAGGGATGTAACCAATTGATAACACAATAAGATTATCTGCTTCTGCTACCCTGCAGAGCTGCAAAATCTGATCCTATTGTAAATACGTTCAATCTGCCCCACCCACTTTTGTTCCAATTCCATTTTTGGAAAGACTTTGAAAAGGGTATGAAGGGATAAAATAATGGTATGGATAGATGTGACGTATATCTTGTATGTATTTTTTGTGAATAGAAAATATAGGAGCATGTACTTTTTTTTTTTTTAAATAGGAGAAGAAAAAATTGAGCGGCAGTTCATGGACTATGTGTCAATGAAGGCTGTTAACTCTATTGTGTTGTTGAGGAGTCGTCACAGATAAATGGGAAGTTGGGTTAAGTAAGGTATTGCTCTACAAATGTTTAACTTTAAAAAAATTAAAAAGATAATTACTCTTAACCTATTATATTTTACCAAAGCCCCCGTATTTACAACCATCTTTTACAAAACCAGGAAGCATCCTGTTGCCTTATTTTGAGGGCTTCTCTATAGTTTTTCTGTTTTTTTTTCGATAAAGAACATGCTGTATGCTGCCCATACTAGAGTATTGTTTAATGCAGCACTATGTTTCTCAAAGCACCGCGCTAGTCTAAAGGCAGAAAGTGTTCCCATTCTATCAGCGCCTGTGAAAGATATCATAGTGTGCTGTGTTATGCACTGTATGAGGGCCATTAACGGCTGTTGCAGGGCCAAGCACCAAGAGACCACCAGACTAATGAAAACATGGAGAAAGATCAGCAGGTGCTCTTTCCAATACACAGAAAAACAGACTGAAGAGCCTCCATGAGAGCTAAAAACACTGAAATAGTACAGAATGAAAGGAGAAAATCATTGTTTTATTATTTTTGTCAAAAAGGATTACTTTTACATTTTGGGAAATCTTTTTTCTTATTTGCTTTCTGTCGTGTAAGAAGATGGATAACTATTCTTTGTTTGTAAATGCAATACTATAGCTGGTAGTCAATTATCTTATCTTAGCATATAGAGGTAGAATATCTTTCCTATGCCTGTCGCATAGTAAACCCCCGCCCATTTCCACTCTTTGTGCTAAGCTAACTGGCTACTAATACAGATTTGAAAAACAGACATAAGTGTGACAGCAATATTTTACTCTAGCACATATCAATAAAGCAAGTGTACTATTGCTAGTATTCCTGAGCCTTTTATCCTGCAGGTTTTTACTGGAATTTAGGCGATATTTTAAATTACTGACAGTTGTCGTTGGTTGTCTCGCGGGTAATGAATTAAAACCAGGTGGCTACTAGAGTTACAAGATGTGTATGCTGTTTGAATAAAATTTGCTCATTGTCGGATCTGTTTTTTTCCCCCTGCAGCTAGTAGAAACGTGGCATGGTGCACTTCAGTCTTGTGCCCCGGCAACCCAACATCACATGTGGGAACAGCCTGCAAGACAGCCGCGTGTGGTGCTAACATCTGGGGAGGGGGGGGAGGGGAGGCACTGACTACCAGTGGAGACTAGATGACACCAGGTGAATTAACAGGTAAATGGAAAAACAGAGAGTGACAAACACAGTTCCTCTACCTGAGCACCTCGGAGAGCGAGGAGTCGCTGTCATCCGACCTGGAGGCAGAAGAGGAGCGGGGGGAGTGGTGCAGGAAAAGGAAAGGGTTAACCACGCTAAGGAAAGACAGAAGGGTTACTGGCAAAGGGTTAAAAGAAGGGGTGACTGCAAGAAGGGTTTGGATATAAAGAAGACAGCCAATTGGCAGGAAAGCCAGTTTTTAGTCAGGCAGTTTGCCATGAAATGGTCCTCTTCCGTTTACTGAGTAGCCTGTATTCTTTGACCGTTAACTGCCGATGTTTCCCCCTGTAAAGCATGCTTACATCACTGTGCAATGGCTGGTTTATTGGACTTTTGTCGAGTGGTGTTCGGGCTAACATTATTTGTTAAAGGTTTAAAGAAACAGTGAGACATTTTATTTATTCACATCTTCTTGCTGAGTGTTTGCTCATGTCTGTCTAATATAAAGTTACAGCCAGTAGCTGGTTAGCTTAGCATAGCATAAAACAGCAAACAATGGAGCAGGCAGCCTAGCCTAGCCTTGCCCGAAAGGTAACATAATTTGCTTAAAAATTAATTTAAAAAAAAATTTGTGGTCTTCCATTGGCTATGTTCTGTGCTGTAACCAGGACTTCTCATATTAAAAAGTTGCATTACCTAACTTAGCCGTGTCCCCTTTTCCCGTCTTTATGATAAGCTAAATTAGACAACGTGTAGCTTCCTTTTTGACATACAGACATGTGTTATCAATATTTTCATCAAACCCTTAGAAAGAAAGAGAAAAAACATTTCCCAAAATGTCAAACTATTAATTTGAGCGAGACAGAAAAAAGGTACTGAAAAGGAAAAAGGAGGTCGTTGAAAAATTATCAGTAATACCAAGATAGTCATACACTCAGGTTCGCTTCAACTCTTTCCAGCCATATACAGCAAACTAGTGCAGAAAGTAACATCAGGAGCAGCTCCAGGGTTGACTGAAGGAAAATTGTGAGGTTGTCAAACTCACAGGCAGACCCGCTCAAAGCTGTCGAGGGAAAAATCCAGACCACAAACGCTACTTCAACTGAGTGCAACAAAAGTGGTATTATATTGTAGCTTCGGGTTTGTCACTATGAGTACTTACAGTGCATCCGGAAAGTATTCACAGCGCTTCACTTTTTCCACATTTTGTTATGTTACAGCCTTATTTCCAAAATGGATTAAATTCATTATTTTCCTCAACATTCTACACACAACAAGACATAATGACAAAGTGAAAACAGTTTTTTGCAAATCTGTTAAAAATAAAGAACGAAAACATAACATGTACATACGTATTCACAGCCTTTTCCATGACACTAAAAATTTAGCTCAGGTGCATTCTGTTTCCACTGATCATCCTTGAGATGTTTCTACAACTTGATTGGAGTCCACCTGTGCTAAATTCAGTTGATTGGACATGATTGAGAAAGGCACACCCCTGTCTATATAAGGTATCACAGTTGACAGTGCATATCAGAGCATAAACCAAGCCATGAAGTCCAAGAAATTATCTGTAGACCTCCGAGACAGAATTGTATCGAGGCAACGATCTGGCCAAGGGTACAGAAAGATTTCTGCAGCATTGAAAGTCCCAATGAGCACAGTGGCCTCCATCATCTGGAAATGGAAGAAGTTTGGAACCACCAGGACTCTTCCTAGAGTTGGCCGCCCAGCCAGACTGAGCGATCGGGGGAGAAGGGCCTTAGTCAGGGAGGTGACCAGGAACCCAATGGTCACTCTAACAGAGCTCCAATGTTGTTCTATGAAGAGAGGAGAACCTTACAGAAGGACAACCATCTCTGCAGCACTCCACAAATCAGGCCTGTTTGGTAGAGTGGTCAGACGGAAGCCACTCCTCAGTAAAAAGTTTGCAAAAAAGCACCTGGAGGACTCAGACCATGAGAAACAAAAATTCTCTGGTCTGATAAAACAAAGATTGAACTCTTTGGCCTGAATGCAAAGCGTCATGTCTGGAGGAAACCAGGCACTGCTCATCACCTGGCCAATACCATCCCTACAGTGAAGCATGGTGGTGGCAGCATCATGCTGTGGGGATGTTTTTCAGCGGGAGGAACTGGGAGACTAGTCAGGATTGAGGGAAATATGAATGCAGCAATGTACAGAGACACCCTCGATGAAAACATGCTCCTCAGACTGGGGTGACGGTTCATCTTCCAACAGGAATGGTAATGGTAAATGGACTGTACTTGTATAGCGCTTTTCTAGTCTTCAAGTGTCTTGCCCAAGGACACATCGACATGTGGGATAGCAGAGCCTGGGATCGAACCGACAACCCTCTGATTGGAGGACGACCGTGCTCCCACTCACCCTGTCGCCCAGGACGACCCGAAGCACACAGCCAGGATAACAAAGGAGTGGCTTTGGCACAACTCTGTGAATGCCCTTAAGTGGCCCAGCCAGAGCCCTGACTTGAACCCGATTGAACATCTCTGGAGAGATCTGAAAATGGCTGTGCACCAATGCTCCCCATCCAACCTGATGGAACTTGAGAGGTTCTGCAAAGAAGAATGAGAGAAACCGCCCAGAAATAGGTGTGCCTCGCTTGTGGAATCATACCCAAGAAGACTTGAGGGTGTAATTGCTGCCAACGGTGCTTCAACAAAGTATTGAGCAAAGGCTGTGAATACTAATGTACATGTTATGTTTTCGTTCTTTATTTTTAACAGATTTGCAAAAAACTCATCACTTTGTCATTATTACCAATTGTTCCGTTTGCTACAATATGTTGGATTCATGTTAATGTGTATTTAAAGAATCTTGTCACACCTGTATGTCAAGTTGGGTTTTTGTCCTGTTTCCATGTTTGTTTTGTGACTTCCTGTTTTATTTTGGAAATTAACTCTCCTCTCGTCTCAGGTTCCTTGCCGTTCCTCAAGTGTCACTAGTCTCATTGTCTTCCTTGATTCCTGATCGTGTCCACCTGTTCCCACACTTCCCTCATGTGTACTTATAGTCTGCGTCTCCCCTTGTCCTGTGCCAGTGTGTCGTGTCCTTTCGCCTTGCACACCTGCCTCATGAAAGAATTAAGCCGAGGTCATAAGTTTTGTTTACCCCAAGCCACGTTGTGGACTCCTTAGTTGGCTTTGTGCAGTTTATCGCTCCACGGTTTCTTGAGTTTAGAGCCTTTTTTTGTGATTGATTGTTTTGTTATATCCTCTGTAAGAGAGATTTTGTTTTTTTACATTACATGTCATTTAGCTGACGCTTTTAATAAGGTTTTGCATTTGTTTACTATTCAGCGCTTTGTTTTGCCAGAGCATTTCTCTGTTCATCCCTCTTCAGAGAAGTTTTTGTTCCCAGGGCCTGCGTTTTTTGTCCGACCGCTCTGGCCTACAGCATTTACTTCAGTAAACAAAACGTTTATCTCCAGACACACACCACTTAAAAATAGTGTAAATTTTAAAATGTTTCATCCTCCTACATCAGGCTCTACGGGAGGGCTTATCCTGTTGGAACTACAAACACAACCCTAAACATAAATATCCTCCCATACTGCCACACTATGTTAATTTCAAATGGCTACCAATCGCAACAGCTGCATGGAAAGCCAACAAGACTCTTCTTCTTCTTCTTCTTCTTCTTTTTTGTTTACTGGCAGATCGCACCAACTTAAAGGTGCATATACCGCCACCTACTGCACTGGAGTGTGAGGCCGGTCACGGCCTCCCTTCTATATCCTGTTGTACAGCCCCGTGTTCCTGAGAAAAATAAATACTGCCTTC